ATATATATATAGCCACTAGTGGCCGAATGGTTAAGTGTTCAAACCACTAGCCAGGAGGTCGGGGTTTAGAGACTCTCCGGGTTTCGTGAGATGCGCACTGCTGATGATTCCCAATAAGGATGAAACAGCTGTACAGTGCTTCTCGGCTTTTCAGCATAGATTGGCTTCACTTGAAGGATGAAATCTCCACACAAAAATATAGACTTTTGTCCAACCACTCCTAAAGAGGGAGGATCAACACTAAGAAAATATTTTGTTATCGCTGGAAGACTTTCCCTTTGATGGCTCAGGGTTACTGCATCGGGTAAATTGCAATAAGCAATTTATTTTACTTCTGGTTTTAATTCCTCCACTTGTGTTGCCTCTGTCTGGTCCATAATTCATACGCCTTATGGGAGGAGACACAATTTCTCTTACATGAAGATTGCAAGCATTTTCTAGTTGCTTTTGCAATCTTTTGCACCTATCCATTTTAAATTGCATTCATTTGCTCAGGTCGCGCGTTCCTGCGGCTGATTGGATTGTCTTCGAGCTGTCTACTATGCAACTTCGTTAAATGTCTGTCATCGCGTGTTCACGCTATCCATTCCGCGTGGTTTGATTACATTCAGGAAGGCATACCAAAGCAAATTCATATCATGCCTTGACTGAAGCTCTCATCTGAGACTTGTGTGGAATTTCACACCGCGACATGTAGCAGCACTCCTCCAGACCACACAATGCCTGAAAACAATCAATGCAGTTGATTGTACGTCCCTTGGGCCGCTGGACATCAAATGTATGGTAGTTATAACTCTGGATAGCGAACTGATGCAGGTCGAATATGCAGAATCTTTTAACAGCTCCGCTAGCGAATCGTACCGAAGAATAATTAGTAAGGTAATCAAACGACGATCAACCCTGAGAGTTATCTCTTTTTGGTCATTTGTTTCCAATTAATCTTGTTTGCTTCTTGCGTGTAACGAAGTAGCACCCAATCGGAGATGTTCAGATGTGAGGAGGCTTCCTTGTGTTGGTTTTGTCTAATTCGCAAGCGACTCATCGCATGCTGGTTATTCATTTTTGTCTCGACTAGGCTGAAAATTCTTATGCTTGGAGGTAAAGAGCTGCGTTGTGACCAGACTGTTTCCATTTCTGTCTACCGAATGACAGAATTTGTATAAACCATGAATTGCTTCGATTAAAGACAACCTGTGACCAGAACCAGCACTATTCCAGCTAAATGTACTACCGGAAAGAGCTACACATTTGGCAGCCTGCTCAGAAAGAATGATTGGACTTGGACAGTAGTTTCCTACTTCACTATCTTCAAGTGAAGTCAAATTGTGCTAAAAAGCTTAATCATTAGAATAACTCAACTCCAGTGAGAAGTNAAGCTGAATTATTAGAATAACTCAACTCCAGTGAGAAGTGAACCCGTTAACCTCCGGTTAGTGGGTGAACAATATGCTCCTCGGCTCCCAGTGTTTGACCAGCAGTCAGGCATGGCGTCGTCCACCGTGACGCTGTCCCAACTGTCTGGTTATGAATGACACCAAATGTAAAGGTCAGGCAAACTGCGCTTTTTATGTCTTGTGCAGATTGAATTTGGTTTCACAAGTTCCCCCTACTATCAGCAAAGCATATATTTCCGTCTGCATAACAAAGTTGAAGTTAGCTGGAAAAGATCTACGGCATAATTGTCAACATAACAAGATATAGGCTACGACGTTTCCTAAAAGTAAACACTTCTGGTTTAGCGCGGTTCTTCTTCAAATTGCCGGCAAACATCTGAAAGTTGAAAGTGAATTAATTGGTGTATTTGTGACGCATTTGAAAAGATCAAACCTGTTGGTATCAAACTAATCTGTAAATGTGTATGTCACTTCCTATGTTGAATTGAGTTGTACTGCTCCCTAAACCTAACACGTTTTGGTGAGGGGGAAGAGAAGAGGAATTTTCTAAGAATTCATGGAATATTAAAACCTGATTAATGGAATAACATTCTCGGAGCATTAGATGTGATGGAATAACATTCTCGGAGCATTAGATGTGAACAGTGCCAACCGCAGTCTTGTAAGCTTTCATGTTACGCTAGCTCAACCCTACAAAAATGCTTTACTTTATCGCCGCAAATGTTCTAGAACACACGTTGACTATTATACGTCTGCACCCAACTCTCCACCTAAAAATCTGCTACTGCAATCATGGTATCACCACATCGTCGGTGGTGATGCAACCCAATCAATAGTCATACGATTAGTTGTAGGTAGTGGACCTTACATTCTCGCCACTCTCGTCCCCGTACGCAAACCCCGGTAGGGTTCGAATCTTGGCAGAGCCGACGACACATCGTTACTGAGCTCTAAGAAAGACGGAAATTGATTTCAGGACTTATCCCTCTTAGTCTGGACCAACAGGATAATTGAGGAGGAAGTAAAAAAAGACCTAAATTTGGTGCGCTATCAACCAAGAAGCGGAAGTCAAACCTAAACTTGCGATACTCAAAAGAAGAAATTACGCAGTGTAGTTAAGTACATGGAACACGCGCAGACAGTCCAAAGTTCTTTCTATGCACAACATTTGTTGACTTATTTCACGAAGAAAAGCACCCAAATGGGCATTAGTTCGGAAACGAGAAAATATGGACTGAAATATCTTGGAGGTATTTTCTCATTTCTTCTATTAAAAATAAGCTGAACCCCATTGCAGAATTCCAAATTATTATATTACTGAATCATACGTAATAACGAGATTATTATATACCTCAGGAGGCTGGACATCAGTAGGACGATCCCCGAACCAGATATGAGTTCATATCCGTAAATTCCGTTGGTCCGAACTGAATTTATAAAACAAAAGAAATTAGAAAATTCTGAGCAGACGTTGCAGTCGATGGTTCCGAATGCATCCCAGACGGTTCGGTTCAACACGGACATTAGTAAAGTCACGGGTGTTTGGTGTAGCCTAGGTTTACAAAAACAAATCCATTGAATAATAAGATATTTTGTATAGAATTAAATGCACGCAATCCAAAAACAAAATCTGGGAGTCGGTATCAAAATAAACTAGATTGTCTTTGAACCACAAGTGGAATTTATGGTCTGGCCTCCGGAATTGTAAAGTCACTGGTTAAGAAATATGTATGGCCTACCACCACACGAGCGTTATAATGCGAAGTATTTCCCTAGAAAAAATCACCATGGTCACAGAGGGTGATTTTCAGCGTGGAATGAAGTGCTTTATGACAAAATGCGAAACCCGCTCCTTCCTGGGGACTGTATACTCATACTGAACAGCATGTCGACAAAGATGTGGTCCTTGTTCCTGTGGGATACGTTAAGCCTGTCAGGAAGTTGATGCAAAATGCACGCAATCCAAAAACAAAATCTGGGAGTCGGTATCAAAATAAACTAGATTGTCTTTGAACCACAAGTGGAATTTATGGTCTGGCCTCCGGAATTGTAAAGTCACTGGTTAAGAAATATGTATGGCCTACCACCACACGAGCGTTATAATGCGAAGTATTTCCCTAGAAAAAATCACCATGGTCACAGAGGGTGATTTTCAGCGTGGAATGAAGTGCTTTATGACAAAATGCGAAACCCGCTCCTTCCTGGGGACTGTATACTCATACTGAACAGCATGTCGACAAAGATGTGGTCCTTGTTCCTGTGGGATACGTTAAGCCTGTCAGGAAGTTGATGCATCGGTCGCAAAATACACGTCGTATGCTCCTATAACGTGATTGACAGCCAACTGACAAACTTTGTCATCTACTGTGAATTCGCATGCTTGACGGGCTGCATGTAGATGTTTCGCCACGAATCGAAGAGATATCGTTACCAGGCAATTCGGCTGGATTGACAGTTGCAACCAGGAAAAACCGCAGAATAAAGAATACAAATCAGAAGATGCATAGACCCTGGTTTACATAAATCAAAGAAAATGGACAGGAAATGATGAGCTGAAACTGAGGATAGAAACTAAGATCCGAAAGTGAACAAACGACCAGCTAGATAGCACAAAGGCAGACCACGGGGCAACAGAAATCGCAAGACAAGGAAAGGATGAACACGCAAAAAAGGCTGTTTCGAACCAACCACTGAAGAGTAGAATGTTCTCCAAATGATCGATCACGTTAGGTGCTTTGATCTCGCCTTAACAACCACATAAACGCAAGAATTAATAGAAAACGCCGACCAAACACTCACTGACAAATGGTGACAGAAAATCTGGAAACAAATTTCCTACCTCCACTTTGGCAGATCAGTTGCCAACTGATCAAAAAGCAACTGGCGCACACAAGCTGTCACTATTCGGGCATATCTCGGACAATCTGCCGACTGACTAGAAGAGTTGACGTGGTGGCGCCTCAATGCGTTCAGTCAAACGAGCATTTCGTTCTTATTGCTAAGGTACTTGTTTTTTTGCGAATGAATGATCTACCGCGGTGTAGTAAGGGTAACCACAGGCCGGACCAGTGACAAGCCTGCTCGCTGGCCTTCGTTCTATCGTCTTCGACGGAGCAAATAATTTTATATCAGAAGGAGTTTCCAGCACATTATGCATGCAGTTGACGCTATCAGTCAGTCGCACGAGTCCAATTTCGACCAAATAACCTCGATCGAAATCCCTTCTATGGATGTTGAATACCGGAAGCTGAGTCGAAAGTGCCAAACGTGGGCCGGTAAAATAGACAAGAGGCACGTAACTCTTCACAGGGGTCTGGTTGGCTGTTACTGAGTTCAGGTAGATGACGGAGATCTCACACATCCAGTCGAAATGCCGAATATAAACCGTCTTGTGTTTTTACCTCGATACCAAAAAGAAGCCCAAAAAACATGAATTTTCAACTAGGCAATCCAGATTATAATTTATCTTGTAGCTTCTTAACGTTGAGGATAAAAAAAATTTGTGCAGAAGCGGCTCGGGACTAGGGGCGAGATCGTCCTACCCGACGTTCATCCGATGGACAGTTGTCCCCGGGATAGTTTTCATTGAACTAAATATCTTACCCAGCATTAAAAAACAAAGTCAGCGTGTAAATGATCATCCACTGGAAACTGCAAAAACCAAACGTTTGGAAGATTATCTCATCATATCGGATTCAGCTTGAGGGCTGGCAAGTCACGTTTGTAGTTATGCACCGCCCTGACAACGAGGTGTCGACATAATAAGGTACCAAGTAAACGGATTTACCCTCGTTCTCCTTCATGCGCAAGGAAACTAGAGTACACCCGCGTTGCGAATGCAGCTAGACCCTATGCATTGCCAGTATTTCACCAGGAAATCTCAAGATTAGACATCTTCCGGGAACCACTAAACTCTACCTCAGCGAACGCATTCTTCTGGGCTGAGGGACACACTTTATTGGTATCTGGGTCGTTAAACTGAAGAGAATACCGCAGACATGGAACCCCAAATTAAACCAGTTTAGTGATCTACGATCCAGCCCTATGAGCTCTCTTAGGATCTATCCATCCGTAGTACTGAATCGTCCTTGTATAATTTCCGTATTCATCAAACGGTGGGTTCTGTTCGAACGATCTTGTTAGACTTGCATGATAGTCGGCGCCTTTCCTAGATAGCCTTTTTCCTGGTTATTTGACTACGTTATCTATACCATGGAGTTATTCAGAAATAAATATGGTATTTTTTCGCGTTAAAAATAAGCGTCATCTAGTTGAGTCATGAAAGTGTTAGTTATCACGGGGACTTGAATAGGGTACTATGATGAATAGACGATTGTTCTCAATATTGGAACCTCTTTCAGCTGTCACAAACTTTCGGCACCTGGCTGTCATGCCAGCCGACCGATTCATACTGTGTCGAAATATTGGTAGCTCAGGTGAGTTTATTGTTTGTTCATCAGGTGACTTGATCTGCTCACCGAGCTTCGCAGTTGGCTTGCAAATGTTTCGTTAACATACGAGGAGACACTATAAGTCCGCAGTTGGGTGCGTACCTCCTGTTTGCGTGCGTGCCCTTATATAGCATTCAAGAGCCATTTGTTATCTCCTGGCTGATTGGCTAGTGGGTTGACAGCGTTTTTCGCGGATTTATTGGTTCGTTCGTGATCTTAATTGCGTTGTGATTTGTATTCCTTCAAGTCGGTTGATCATCCTAAAGCCTTCTGTTTTTAGTAGTTTTCCACTCGATTTGTACCGCGTTGTGGTCTGGTTTTTCTTTTCCGGGAGTAATTGGCTGGCTGCACAGCCATATGTTCTCCACTGTATTTACTGGCGTCCTTCCGTCCGTCGGCTAATTTGGTACTTCGGTTTATTGCCCTGACGCCTCCTCCGTTTGCCAGTCGATTTNGGCGTCCGTCCGTCCGTCGGCTAATTTGGTACTTCGGTTTATTGCCCTGACGCCTCCGTTTGCCAGTCGATTGCCAAGCTCGGCGAGCAGATCAACGGAAGACGTACATACTGCCAGAACTAGTAGGGATGGCGCTGTCGGATTTGAAACAGCGACTTTCCTGTTGGTACATTCACACCTCAACCACTGAACTACTTCAGGCTCTCTTTCTCAATACAATTCAGATTGCACTTGCTTGTGACTCGCAATGCAGGCTGTAGTAAGTGTTTTTTGTAACGGTATTCTACCGCGACTACTGTATGCAGTCATTATAATGTGGATTACTGAAAATTCACTTTGAACTACGAAGAAATTCATGTAATAACATTGCTGATGTCCAGACGTGTGGCGTTTTGTACCTTTATTCTACTTCCATTATAACACTACGTATTTCGTCAACTACATAGTCGTTTCTTGTTTGAATAAGAACTTCAAAAACGCGCACTTGTGCAGTTTTACAGTGGCATACGCCCAAAACTCAACGGTAGATATCTGTTGTTCCTACAAAGTGAACAGCGAACACAATGTGGTGAAACAACAGCCGTGCTCCGTGAATCGTTTTCTGTGAGTTGATTTGGAGCAAAACTGGTGAGTCGCATAACTTAATTAAGAGATGTCGTGGAGGCATCTGAGTGAACGGTTAATCATGAACTGTCGGAGAGCAACGCCTTATCCTTGGTGTTCATAATGAGTGATCAATAAAACACAAAGTCCGGTAAACTAGCTGAGCGGAAGTTTGATCCCTTGAAAAAGCATAAATCAATCGTTGTTGGCGTTTGCTCTAGCCGAACGAAAAAGTAGAAATGCAATGTCTGAAGGCAATGTGCATTATGGGGAAAAGATTGGCCCATGTGCCCAAAAATGATATGTGAGTAACTGATCTACTCACCTCCGGTGTTCGTAGTTGATTCACTTGCGTCTGTCATGAACAGATCGTCGGTGACGGTGACACTGCCTGTTTCAGTCGGGACTAAAAATAGATGTATTTGTATAACCGACGAGAGACAGAGTAACTCTTGTACGAAAAGATACCAAATATATCGACTGAAAGATCTGCAAAGTCACCCCGTTTAACCAGAGTTACAAAATTATTCAGTGGCACTTGTGTACACCTGTGTCTATCACAAATAGGGCCGTACAGGAAATGATGTCCTCAGAGCTAAAAAAAATTCGTTCAGTCGTTGACTGTTTGTTGTTCCTGACGTTTGTCCGACTGCACATGAAACAATGAGATCCACTTAGTTTCATTTGTATATTTCTTGTGCAATAAGAGATTTGCCGCCACTCGCAAATACCAGTGTAGATAGAGACAGGCGGCTATATTTCTATCGGATAATTGGTTATTAGTAGGCTTGCTCACATTTGCTACGTCGTGCTAGATTCGAACTGAACTGGAGATGGCGATTCTCCTGCACCAGTGTTGAAATGTAATCATATCCTCTTTGCGGCAAAATCGTTTATTGCTTTCACTTAACCCAAACATATTGACTAAACGCCACTCGCATTTCTCTCAGCTTTAACCTGGACGGAGCAGAGCCATGAGCGAAAAAAATTGGTAATGTAACCTACTTCAATTTCTAATCCTTTTTTTCTCAAGAAAAGCTTCTTTCGCAGTTTGAAACTTTTTGTCAAAATCACCTCGTATTCAATTTTACTCTCGCCCAAATAGAGTGCCTGAAGAATTATTCAGTTTCGCTTTTGCCCTGGAACATTTGCTAACGATGCACCTGCATTCCTCTGAATCTGCTTACTTGGCATTCTTCGATAGGATAAAAACCATCATTGCTTAGTCGACACGCACTTATCTTAAATAGCTGGCAACGACCGGGAACACGTCAGCTATGACTAAATATGTGAGCACAGGGAATGTAGAGTAGAACGCAGTTTGAGCAACGAATTGAATCAACCAAGTTTCCGTAGTCTACAATAGTTACCCTAAAAATTACTGAGAGTCCTAACGTGGTCAATGGATAATAATAATAATGATCTTCCAGCTGTAACACTCTTCCGGTGCCAGCTGCCATGGCACGAGGTGCAACCTGGTTGCCTAAACCTAGACAGGAGCAATCGATATGCTACGTTTGGGTTCGAACCACGGACCTCTCAGTCAGTAAACTCGCAGTCTAACCACTGAGCCATCTCGAGCTCACGTGGTTAATAATTCTCCCACACACGAGTGAATTTGACCATTTTTGAACGCCAAGTGTATTTAGTACAGCCATGTGTTCATCGGACGGAATGTGTTTAATCTTAAGTTAGGACCGTCGAAAGGTAACCGTTTAATAATAGATAAATGTTCATCGGACGGAATGTGTTTAATCTTAAAATCTGACACCCCCTAGTAGGACCGTCGAAAGGCAAACGTCAAATAATAGATAAAAAGTTTCAAACAACTTTCACCACGACGGGGACTTATTTTTACCTTTATTTGATGCCACTACCGTTTCAGAATCACCCTCAGCGCTTTTAGGATCCACTGCGTCCTCTACAGATTTGCCTCTGGGCTCTTTGGTAGTTGTGTTTTTGGTGGAGATTTCAGAACTGACGCCAGTAGAAACGCCTAAGATGGGAAATTAATGGTAGGCATGGTATCAGAAATAGGTTGGTTCTGTCTGAACTGAAGAGAGGTTACGCTAGAGAAGATCCTTTGTCCTATACTGTTCAAATTTATGGTGTGCCAATAAGAGACCGGATAATTCACCATCCCGGATGATATGAGAACAAGTTTTCTAGGCACGCAGTAGTGGTCGTACATTAGTTGTGTGATTATGTGGTGTCATTTGTTTACAAAAAATGGCTATTTTCAATGACACTTGTCCGAGTGTATGGAAAGCCTGGAATCGGTCTGCTTCCGTTAACTGACTACCTGTGCATCACAAATGTCCAGGATACTCAAAAAACGTGCCTCAAGATTCCTTAGTTGTGCTGTTATATAAGAGATGTACAGGGGCCATAAATCCATGTACACAATGAGTAATGCTTATCTTATACACGGAACAAAAACAATAGTAATAGTGTAGAAGAATAGTGTTCAGTCAACAAATTATACTGGGATATCACTATAACCGCACAAACTGAAATGTGAGGGGATTCTTGTGCAGCACATTCATTTGAACGATATCATGACCCGGGTATCTAACTGGTATCCAAAAGCTTATTCAGCTAAAACCAACTTAGTATGCAAATGAGTGTATTTTGCAAACTGCGTCTAGTTTGGTTTCAAGTGGAACAAAAGTTTGACGGTCCACCTGATGACCTCCAAAAATGTCGAATGTAGTAATGGGCTTTCCAGTACATTCCAGTAACTTTCTGGGTTATAGCTCTCTGATTTTCAGTAATGTCGCAAAAAATATCAGTGATTCCAAGACAAGCTAGCTTCCTTATCTAATACCTCTGAAATCGGAATGGCACGTTGA